AACTCCAACCCAGAATCCCCACGGGCCATAAACCATCCCAGTGACGTCGGCTGTTGAAGATATGCCAGAGAAATGGGATACCATCAATCAATAAAATAACACACGACGAAAAAGAAAAATAACAAAGTGTTATGTCACTCAACCAATAATAGGTCCATCTTTTAATTTCGTATAGTGTTTCATATTACATAAGCAATTAGTGATTATTTGGGACGATGATGTCAGCAATATCTATTTCTTACGTTGCGTTTTGAAACGGTTTGATATATCTTATTCAAAATGACTGATTGTCCTGTCAGAACAATCACCAGTTGAGTACCGACATTAGATAATTCTACATTGTGTTAATGAATCATTCCGATTTCGTGAGCACTAGACAATTATAGCCCCGTTCTGTTACAAATGTCACTATTTCATGTCAACCCTCAACAGTAATAGATTTATAACTGCAGAAAAAATGAATGAAATGAACTTGACAATTTCCAAAGGCTTAATTACAGAACGCAATACGTTTATTTATAACACTGTATCAATCATCCTTTCTCCAATAAATCTTTTGCAGCATTTTGTTATGTGCAAATTACCAATGAATTCGACAGAATTCGCATGAAAACTATCGTAAATAACTGTTAATCGTGGTGTATGATGGATGACAGTCTAGGTGTTATAGCCACGTGTATTCATTGCAAAGAGCATAATCATTAAGATGTTGCGTGCTGTCTTTTCTTAAGATGGCCATTGTAAGATATTACCTCTTGCCTAGTTAATACCACCATGAAGTGTTGGAGTGGTGGGGGTTGGGGGTTGGGGGTTGGGGGGGGGGGGGGGGGGGGGGCGGCTGGGCTGTCAAAGGATAACACAGATAGCAATTACGTATTGTCTCGTTGTGGTTTTATCACACCTAATGAAGAGAGACCTTATATACCTCATGTAAGTTTAAATATTTCTTGAAGCTTACCTGGTATGCATTCATGATTTTACCGTACACTTCGTGTACTTACGTGCATCCGATGGGCGAATAAAATGCCGTCATTTTCTGACACGCATTAATACTCTAGTCGACTGGTATTATTATCTTCGAATTAAGCCAAAATGTATATTTCATATATTTGTACATGTATTTTCTGCTGATCCTTCATATTACGTTAATCTGTAAATTACATTAATACACTATGCCTCTCCAACTGCCATTCGTATGAAGCATTTCGTGTTAATAACAATATTATACATTTATATATATTTGTATCGCATTCTAGTAATCAGTTGTATTAAACAATATATCCCATTAAGATATGTTAAACTCACAATATGTTCACCAACAGTCCCTTGCATTATGCAATATACTTTCTGAAAAGTTCATTGCATTATTCAATATATTGTCATAAAAGTCTCATGCATCATTCAATATATTCCACAATAGCCCCTTGCATAATTCAATATATTCCACCAATAACTTCTTGCATTATTCAACATATTCTCCAAAAAGACACATGCCTCATTATATATATTTCCACAAAAAACCCTTGCATTATTCAATATATGTTCATTGAAGTCTCATGCACCATTCAATTTATTCCACCAATTGCTTCTTGCTTTATTCAACATATTATCATAGAACTACCTTGTATATTCATTATATTCCATCAATAGCCCCTTGCAATATTCAGTTTATTCCACCAACAGTTCCTTGCATTATTGAATATATTCCACCAGTAGCCAACTGAGTTATTTTCTATACCCCAACAGTAGCCAACTGCATTATTCACTATATGTTTCACCAATAGCCCCTGCATTATTGAATGTATTCCATCAAAAGTCCCTTGCATTATTCAGTTTATTCCACAATAATTCCTTGCATTATTGAATATATTCCACCAGTAGCTAACTGCATTATTCAATATACATGTAACATGCATTGTTCAATAAAATCCACCAATATCCCCTTGCATTATTCAGTATATTCCTCCAATAGTTCCTTACATTAGTTTCTATATCCCAACAGTAGTCAACTGCATTATTCACTTGGTTTTATTCTCTGTATCCCAATAGTAGTCCCTTGAGTTTTTCGATATATCCAACCAAACGCTGCTGATTATGTCCCATAAATGCTCATTTGCATCAAACAATGTATTTATACTGGCTCATCCTGTTCGTAAACACCTGGTATCATCTTTGTAATGTTGCAATATTATTTACGAATTCTTTCCTTTTTTGATTGAAATATTATTTTCTTATGACAGAGAAACGGGTAGACCTACCTGGAATTATCAAAGCATTATGGGTATTCGTAATGGTATCTCTTTCACGTGGACAGAATGACAGTCCTTAAAAGAAAGATGCGACACAATCAGACGGATGTAGATGAGATTTTAAGAAAGACTGGGTGCTATATCTCTCGTACTTTGTTAATTAATGTCGCCGACAAATATTTGTGTTTCAAAGTTAACAATTTCATTTTCACATTGGTGTTTGAAGAAGCGCCACCTGTCTGAACCTGATTTATGTGTATGTTGATGACGTGTCACGGACAGTCACATGACACAGAAGGTGACACAGAAGGTTATCTGGTAATGTTGACTGCAGCGGAAATCATCGATGGTTATAACTTGAAATAAAAGCATATCCCACAAAACAAATAGACCTGGACGTCTTTGCAAATGTTTGCCAAGCGGAACAGGATAAACAAATATATGAATTAAATGACTCCTTATTGGTATTATCAGTTAAATTAAGAACATGGGATGTTTGGCTTTTAACAAATCTTCCAAATCTTTGGTTTGTACTGAAAACGAACCACATGCAATGTTAGATATGGCCACTGCTTATTAATAATGACTGAATCAGTTTGTGCCAGTTGATAAATTGGTTCATAAAACCTCTGATAATTGTTTTGTGTTGTGATTACCATAATTAATTAAGAAATAAACGACGAGTGGTCGTTGTTTATCGTACAATAAAACACTACAGGGAGAATAAACCATGAGGGGCGCAGAATAAACCAAGAGGTACGATAAACAAGAGGCGTTTATTTCTTATATGAGATATCAACGTTATGTACAACCGCTTTAAAGATGATGATAAAATGTACAAGTTTTATAAATATTTACTCGTTTTTTTATAAGGAAGACTCCCGAAATAGAATCCGACCTCGGAAATGTCGGACAAGTCCATTTTACGAACAGATGGGTTAAGTTTGGCATTTCCTGCATATTCTCACAATCCTCACGTCAATTATCTTTACCTTTTCTCCTATAACCGATTGTCATATCTCTCCCACTTTTGGTTGCGATCGTCCGGCCACTGCATTTATCTGCGTAACCCAGCCACACCTATGGGGTACAACTTACTAGACACTTCCCCCTAAAAAATAACGTCGTTCAGCATACGACGTCATCAATGTGTAAACGCATGTTCGAATCTCCAGAAAAGACGTCATGATAGGATAATGTTTTATCATGAAATAAACCACGCTTCGTTCTTCATTGTTCTTTGGAATTTATTACTTAGCTATCTTATATTGTGGCATATTACAACATAGGTACACGTATTTTAGGTATTCGTGTCCCTAATGTGTTATTGTTGGAATGTTACTGAGAGGATTGATACCACCTACACACTCACAGCAGCCACATTTTAAAAGCCGAGGACTAAAGAAACAACACCTCTCTCAGTTGATTTTATCATATGCTTGATTTTCAATTAACATTTTTTAAGTTAGCAATATTATTTCCCCAAAATGAAATTAGTGACGTTTACTTAGCACACAAAGAATACATGCAAATGGTTTTATTTGTTTCAGTATAATTTGATTCAAAACATTTAAAAATTAAAAAGAAATTCGTATAATACACAATTGGTGATGAGTTTCTTACGCATGTTATTTTTGAAAATCAATAATTTATCATTTTTTTGGCACAAGTTTCCAACATTTCAAACACGACAAAGGTCATTGTTGCAAATTTATTTCTTCATAAACCAATTTAAGTTTACACACAGTTACCTAATCATAAGTTCTTTTTTTAAAAAAAAACTAACCCCAACCTGTAGCAGGAATGAGTGATGATTAAATAGACAATTAACTTCAACATCAGTCTTTCAATTTTTAATTGCATAAAAAATATGTGGTGACAATTGCATATAAAACGTCAGCGTCAGAGAATAGTCAGTCTCGATTATCTGCCGAAACAGATTCCAGGGGGCGTAAAATGCAACATTTGGTGACCATTATGCGAAGGGATGCGAAACCAGGTGTTCGTTGAAAGGTCTGTAAACAGCCCTGACTTGACCAGACCATCCAGTGACACGATAACGCGTTTACTTATTTTCTTGACAGTAAAAACGAAATGTTAATTTTGAATTACGTTTGCTGTAGAGAAGTGCAGTGAGGTCACGTCATAAAAAAACATCATTTGGTCACAGTACACAGTGGAATTTGTCCAAACCAGACACTGTGGAATCCTCAATTCTGTCAACAGTGACCCAAACTTGCGGGGCTGAATTTCCTACGTTAATTCAAGTTAAATCTGTCATCTGATTAAATATTAATCACTTGGAAAAAAGGTTAATCTGTCTAATACTCTCTTCACTCCTTCGCGAACATCAAGTCACAGGTGGGCTTCCACCTCGCACCTAATTCACACCAACTCTATTGCCATAGCTTTGAAGATCGATAATGAAACACAAAAAAACAACTACCCTCCGCTACTTTCATGTAACGATCCTCTCACTACATGGATGTTGATCTATTGGTTGCAGGTGAAAGGGTTGTTGAACGAATAATGGCTCATATCACCTCCCTGATAGAGGTTTTCACTTCAATCAATCATACTGATCGTATGACAGCCTCGCTGTTAGTATCAGGAAAAATGGTGTGCCGATGCCTGCCCTAGGCAATATCTTTATCGCTCATCATTTGCTGTGGCATGTGAATTGCGTGAGTGCATCTGACAGACCGAGTGACATCTCATCTGTCTAGCTTGTTTGCACGACCTTATTTTAGATAAATGTTGCTTCTAAAACATCACACCCTATTTGACTTCCTAGGACACTTGTTTTATCAATACCAGGCCTTGATTAGTCTGGTGTAAGCGTCTGTGTCGGACGGGTGTGCTTGAAGCTGCTGGCTCTGTTGGTGTGGACAGGTATAGGACAGGAAAGGACACGAGAACAGAGGACATCATTATAGGTCAGTGCGAGAGAGTGACGACCCGAGCCATTTATCTTCTGGTATTCTGTCTTATTCTGTGGCTATTTTAAAAAAAGTATAATCTTTCTCCAAGAAATAAGCCCCTTGTGTCGGGGTATTTTCACCATGGTTCAACCCAAGTAAACTGAGAGGCAAAAGAAACTATACCTCTCAGTTGATGTTACCATATGTTATATTTTCAGTTGAAAATATTTTAAGTTAACGATATTATATCTTTAAAATGAACCGTAAAGGCGCTTTGTCGGTACTCAAAGAAAACAACATTTCAAACATGGTCGTGGTTTTGTCGTTTGAGGGTCGGTCGGTACAATGTGTGAAGCCCATTTCTGGTGTCCCCCGCCGTGCCATTACTGAACTATTGCTAAAAGCGGCGTCAAACCATATTCACTTACTCACTGATTTCGTTTGAAATTCATTTCTTTGCCCACTCTTCATTGAACCAATATATTTTTTATCAAACGTGATAAAAGTTACCCAGCAATAGATTACTTTTACAGTTGCAGGAGGAGTGATTGGTAAATAGACACAATTTAATTTAACAAGTGTTCCTTCAATATTTATTGCATAAAAACTTTCAGTTAATTACATCTACGCACTAAAATTAAGCAGAAGCCTTCACTTCTCATTGAAATCCTTAAGAATGCACACATACTTGGTTTGTTCTTATCAAGCCTACACATGTATCGTGTATGTTGTTACAAGGGTTTCAGTAGGCCAAGTCTCACATTTGTTTGTACAAATTTGCAAATGCTTCAATTCAGTATCACTATTATTTATGTACAGTGTTTGAAGCGTTATTCTTTTATTTTCCTTTAGCAATAATTTGAATTAATGTCGCTTAAAAAACAAAGTCGAAGTCATTTTCAAGTTACTGGTCGAGTTATCCGTATTTCGAGAGAAGCGGAATATCCTGATTGGACTACGGAGACCGTCGGGACTAAAAGGATTCATCATCTTACTTATGCATCTTACATAATTTAACTCTACTTGGGAAAATGATAAGGAGTAGATTCCCATTATAAAAACTTAAGAAGTGAGGAAAGAAGAAATTATTTTGTAGAACAAGCTCTTGTAGTTTGTCCCCCAAATGTTTTTCAGAGCATATATACGATTATTTAAAATGCAAATTCCGAGTGATTGTGTCATGCTCAAGACTTTGTATCTCATGTTTAGCTCTACATATATTTTCAGCAGGGATACGATAGGGACGGGGCTAGATAGAATAGAAACTCAACATGCACACTGTCTGTGAAGGAACTTTTTATTTAATTCATCGTTAATATATTCAGATTGAAAGAAATAACAAATTGAAACGACCATTTTACATTTTTACCCACGGCTAAGAAAAGGCAGTTCCAACTATATGTCATGGACGCCTGTCTGAAGCATATGTTATTTGAATCTTTCTAGCCACGTTTTAAACCAAATCAGCGACTGGCCATCTATCTCTGTCAATGTGTATTACATATCTTCTTCAAACTGCGTTGCTAGGCCCATTGTGTCTGCTGGTTCACTAAGTATGCCATACTGTCACACTGTGCTGTACCTTGAGGCTAGGTCTATTCCCGTGTACACCAATATGATGAGATACCTCACTGTTGACAACATTACAGTAACTGTCTTTATTGGATTGTTTAATGTCAACACACACAGAGTAATAACTCGTGTATTAATGAGGCGTTGAATACCTCCCAGTACATATAAATCAACCAAGCTGAACGTTATGATACCACACATTAATTGTGTCCTTTCTCCGAGACAGCTGTTTGTGTTTATTTAAATAAAATATTACGAAGAAGACAAGGGAAATTGACTTCGTCAGGTGTATACGCATTAAATATAAAAAAGATAGTCCAATTATTTGTTTGTGCTTGTCAAAATTCCTATATGCATGCAAGATATTTCGCCGCTCAACGGAACACTTTATTCTTATATGCCTAAAGAAGTTTCACATGCCCAACTATCAGGACTCCTTACCCATTCGGCGAACATATGGAGTCATCACTGATTTTTAATTATCCATGTATATAATTGTCCTGACTATTCTGTTTTCACGCCCCATGGGATATGGTTAGCCTGTTACTATGACCCAAAATGTAATATGTTTATTCTTTGTCCGCCTTCTGGAACTGGAACCTACCCATTGTTGAAGTACCTGTAAAATGGTGAGGTAAACTCATGAGACCTACAATACATTTAAGATAGTTTACGATTAAATGGACACAATGTAAAAGTATTATCGGCTGTTATTGCTTTATTAATTTGTTTGAGTGTTCAACCCTAAATTTTGTCTGAGGACGAAATAAAAACATCGAAACGGACAAGATATATCTGTATCACGAATCACGAATACGCCCACCTTTTCGCGAACACCTGGTATCATCAATATTTGATAGTGATTCATGAACACCTGCTTATGATATAGTCGGAATCACACAATTTCGTACCTCGATTTCATATGATTATGGAAATGGTTTTGTCGCTTTTATATTATTGTAACATGACAGCGTGTCTCCCAAATGTTATTCACACTGACGTTTGTCGTTGACGTTAACATCTTCAGTGAAACCCACGGACTCTGGGACCATGAACACATATTGAATTTAATTTTCTGAATTTATTTAAAAAAACCATTTTCTTCAATTTAATGAAGATGGAACTAATTTGTTTCTTTGGACTGCCTTAAAGTGTTTTTGAGATGGTAAAATGTTTCATTCTTCTGAAAGATCAAATGTAATCAATAGAAACTTATTCGTTTTCACATTGAAAAACCTTCGAAACGATTATTTAACTAAGTGCAGCCTAATCGGATGTTTTCAGATTGATCATGAAGGCGAGTTGCTGTGTTCTGACGTTAGCCCTTCTGGTGTCTTTAACCACCTCCGCTCCAACACAACCTCCGCCACATTCAGGTAAGTGCTGTCACCCGACACACTTTGATAACCACGTCGCTTCAGCATAATCTTCAGCCACTTAACCACGGATGTAAATTGGTAGGATTTCCCATTTCAGTCTTTAAAATCACCATGCGCACATTTACACGACTAGACTAAGCATATTATTCATACAACAGACTGACAAGACACAGGGCACTCAATACCATACCACCATTATTCATACACATCCCTCCAAACACATATCTGTGCAAGGAAGCTGTTTTAGGCCATTGCCTACGAGTTATCATAATATCATAATATCATTTCCCGAGTAAGGTGTTTGGTCATTTCAACGTATCTCCAACGTGGTCCAGTGGATAGGGCGGGGAGCGGAAGGTCGGCGGTTTGGTCCCAGGCCGCTTCATACCGAAGACGTTATAATATTGTACTTGCTGTTACCCTGGCGCTCTCGATATTAAGGGGAGAAATACAAGGACTGGTCAGCTCGGAGTCAGTATACTTTTGCTAAGTACGGTATCAAAGTTAAAATGCGGTATGATATCCATACGTCGGCCGATTCGGACAACATATAATGGCAATGTGCATATCATGTTTATTCTTGTACACAGAAACAGCCCTCAGTAGATGGTTGCTGGATATGTACTTCAATAATTCCTTGTAATTCCTCGGTTCGAATCTCAGTTCGGGACTTAGGCAAAGTTGTTTTTGATACCGTTTGTAACTTCCGTTGATGCAAATCATTTCGTCTCATCTGGCAGAGGTCCGGTGTTGTTCAGAAAATACTGCTTGTGTTGGTTATTGCTTCAGCGTGTATGGTAGACGAACGTATTTTAATACCTTTGTTTAACTTCTGTGTTAGGTGGGGCTACGGTTGTGTCCATGGCAACATCTACCTTTACTCCATCCGGGACCTTCACTACAACTCCATCTTCTGCTCCTACTACTCCTTCAATCACATCTACTTCCGGTGTCGGTGCTTCTGTGTCACGTAGTTATACTTCCTCTCCCGGGACCATCGTCCCAGATACCTCTGCGCCAAGCGAACAGGCTGTATCTCCTTCCGGTGCGAACACCGTTGAACCCACTGTTAGTTTTGTTGATAGTACCTCAAGCTCAGGCCCTCCAGCCACTAGTTCATTGTCTGGCACCTCCGGTGTAAATGCTGATTCTACATCAGTACCAATGACGACCACAACTCACCCCCTCATCACTGGCTCATCACTGGCTCACACCCAGGCATCCACGACTGAAATAAACGCAGCCGGAGACTACGTTCCTTTCTTCATCCCGGTGGAGATAGAACTGATTGCTAATGAGAACACACTTGATGGCAAATCAAAAACTGTTCTGTGAAGACTGTTTGTTGGTCTGAAATGAAACGATGATTGCATCACGTGTTGTTTCAGTTGGACTGAAGTCCAAATACTACACGCGATTCACAAACATCACCAACAGCCACAAACACATCATACTTACACACCAAAACTTGCTGCTAATAGAAGGCTAAACATATTAGTTTATATTCCTTGTATTTATTTGACACTAGATATAATTATGTGTAAAACACAATTGTAATAAAGTTGTTGTAGCCAAATTGATGTGAATGACAACGGGTTTTTATATCTAAACGGAATCCTCACTTGCATATTTATCTTGAAACGTGGCCATGACCTGTACAAATAGCACTGGCCTCATCGTAGTGTTGGTCACCTCATTTGCACTCACCATCAAAAATATTTTCACGTGGCTATATTTTAAATGACGAACACGTACAGAAAAAAATAAAATGTGGGATATGGAAACCGTTTGTACCAAGTGTACGCAAAAAGGCGGGCGCATCCTGACCCACTGGTGTCACCAACACACGCACAGGCAAGTCAATTTTTCATCTCATGCGTCAAATCTGGAAATGTCCTCCATATGTTACTAAGACCCTGGATGTTGTAATCCTTATAAATTAACTTTGGGGGAACGGTTGTGTGACGCTCTTTGAAATCTGCCTCGATAGAGCATGCTCGATTGTACCTCAAATGTTATGAAATGCTGACATCAAAGGCTGGAGCTGCTTGAATATTGTTCGACATAAATGGAATGTTGATAATTGGAAAGTTGAAGTCACATCCCTCTTGTCATACAGCCAATAAGAGTGTATTTGAATCACTCTGAATCTTTATTAAGAGATCTAAATAACAAACAGAAGGGGCAGTTTCACTGGCCTCTTTGTTTCTATATTTCTTTCTATATTGGGATTGGGGGTGTACATGAGAATGCCTAGTTCATATAAATGTCCAATTCAGTCCATAAATACCTGAGTTACCTTCTGTATGACCACTGTAGACGTAGTTACTTTCTGTATGACCACTGAGGGCGTAGTTACTTTCTGTATGACCACTGTGCACGTAGTTACTTCTGTATGACCACTGTTGGCGTAGTTACTTTCTGTTTGACCACTGTGCACGTAGTTACTTCTTTATGACCACTGTGGGCGTAGTTACTTTCTGGATGACCACTGTGGATGTAGTTACTTCTGTATGACCACTTGCGACATAAATACATTCTGTATGACCACTGTGGGCGTAGTTACTTTCTGTTTGACCACTGTGGGAGTAGTTACTTTCTGTATGACCACTGTGGGCGTAGTTACTTTCTGTATGACCACTTCCGACATAAATATTTTCTGTATGACCACTGTGGACGTAGTTACTTTCTGTTTGACCACTGTGGGCGTAGTTACTTTCTGTTTGACCACTGTGGGCGTAGCTACCTTCTGTATGACCACTGTGGACGTAGTTACTTTCTGTATGACCACTGTGCACGTAGTTACTTTCTGTATGACCACTGGACGTAGTTACCTTCTGTATGACCACTGTGGACGTAGTTACTTTTTGTATGACCACTGTGCACGTAGTTACTTTCTGTTTGACCACTGTAAGCGTAGTTACCTCCTGTATGACCACTGTGCACGTAGTTACTTTCTGTATGACCACTGTGGACGTAGTTACTTTCTGTATGACCACTGTGGACGTAGTTACTTTCTGTATGACCACTGTAGGCGTAGTTACTTTCTGTATGACCACTGTGCACGTAGTTACTTTCTGTATGACCACTGTGGACGTAGTTACTTTCTGTATGACCACTGTGGACGCAGTTACTTTCTGTATGACCACTGTGGACTTAGTTACTTCTGTATGACCACTGTGGACGTAGTTACCTTCTGTATGACCACTGTGCACGTAGTTACTTTCTGTATGACCACTGTGGACGTAGTTACTTTCTGTATGACCACTGTAGGCGTAGTTACTTTCTGTATGACCATTGTGGACGCAGTTACTTTCTGTATGGCCACTGTGAGCGTAGTTACTTCTGTATGACCCCTTTGCACGTAGTTACTTTCTGTATGACCACTGTGGACGTAATTACTTTCTGTATGACCACTGTGGACGTAGTTACCTTCTGTATGACCACTGTGGACGTAGCTACCTTCTGTATGACCACTGTGGACGTACCTACTTCTGTATGCAGTGAGCAGCTTCATATACATGTTCCATCTGTCGTATACCATACTGCATTACGGGTGTTATGTTCCAGGTTCCATGCTGCATCACGACACACCGGCCGTCGGCGCCGCTGACCCTCACTCAGCTGATAAACATCTTCCACACGACCCAACCAAAGCAGCTTCTGAAAATGCGCTCCCGGGGTCTCACGGTGCGAATAGTGCCACAGAGTCACAGCCATTCACACCGGGAGCAAGTACTTCTGCTGACGGTGTTGTGTCTTTTGGAATGGTATTTACTGTGGAACTTCCGCCATACATCAACGTCGGAGGAAAGAAGTATAGGCTCAGCATACGCATGCCCGGAAGTTCTGGTGTAAAAGTGCACTAGTTCTGGTGTAAAGGTGCCCTAGTTTCACACATGCACGACATAGCAAGAGGCAGCGACGTTTGGAGGCAGGAAGATAGGAGGAAGACATATCAGTCACTTCACACTCTTTGTATATCCGTGTCAGTCCAATCTTTACCCTTGGTTTCTGAACACAGTACCTCGAACAAACATTCGAAAAACATTATGGTGTATCATCCACATTTGTGTATATCACATCTGAAGAATATTTCCGGGTAAAGAATATCTGAACTGAATACTTTAAACTCAGAACGTTTTTTTTCCAGACGAAAACCAAAACTCGGAGAATTGAATAACAGGGAAATTCCTTTAGTAAAAAAAAAATAGAATTCCAAATGAATCGTTTTACATCCAACTTTTGAATTCATGTAAATGTTCCAAGAAGTAATTTACCCGAAATGGGTTTTTTGTATTAACAGGATCCGGAATACCGAGGGTTCACTTTCAGGTAGCTTCATGGTAGGGATCCTCTGCTTGTTCGAAGAGTCTGATTGGTCAAGCGGCTTTCTGTGAGAATGTCGTGTTCATCGCAACTTGGGTATTGATTGGAGGAACAAACATCACAGATGATAATTCTTGGTAGTGGAATGTGAGAACGGGAATATAAGTGTATTTCAGTCACTGTATTGTAGTAAGGAACACTGTTCAAAGTATTTTGCATGTTTACTTTAAACTCTGTATCACTTTGGTGTACTAATTTAAGGACAATTTAAGGACATCTTCCAGTACATATGTTTTATAAAACGAAACTACATGCATGTGAACAGAAGGATACATTGTAAAGAATATTTCGAACTGTTTCAGAAGGTTTGTAAAGATGGTAACATCTGTGTATAAAGAAAATACAGGTGACATAATAAATGGCAACACCAGTAAAGCAAATTGTTGTTATTGATTTGAAGAGGATTACACTATGGAGCGGTCGACCCAAAATGGTAACATGCCCGTTTTTCGATGAATGAGTTTAACGAGTTGTCTGTGAGAACTAAAATGTATCTATCCAGTAGAGCATGTGCGAGCATTTTACTCGTGAAATTCGACTAAAAGTCATCATTTCTCAGAAGGCGATGGACTAATTAGAAAGCACAAGGACACATTGGGGATTGTTTTCCAACTCTAAGTAGTCTGTTATGAAATAATTTGAAATCTCTTACAAATAGATAAGTGTTTCCACAGAGCAGGAAAAATGTACATGACTCGAGACCACCAACCCATCCTATGCCGATAAACCTCTGTCATATTATGTACTGAAGTCAAATGTTTACACAGTTAACTGGTCGACGTATTAATCCATACAAAGAGAGATGCTGTGTTTGGTTCAAAAACAAAACATAATTCTTTGTACAACCTAGGAAAGATTTTGTTATATAAGGCGAGGGTTTTGTCGCTTTTATTCATTATCACAGAAGGTATTTGAGACAATTGGTTTTAATGTGTATTCTCAGAAACACCATGGATTTGTTGGAAGTTTTGCAATCTCAGAAAAGGAGGAAGTTACTTTCTGTCTAAACATTTGATTTTTTAACTATGTACAACACTTTCACACTCGACAAAATTAAGAAACAAATTCGATTGCTTGATCCATGGAGCATTTGTTACCAAACATGGTGACCATAGATATCGTCACATACCAATCTTTAAAGGTTCAAAAATGAATGTAAATCCCACGACCAATGGACACACTCTACAAGGTAATGTTGCTTTACATATATTTATTTGCAAGTGGGGAAACAAGTATTCGTGGACTAGTGGCCCAGTACTAGTGGTCTGACGAGTCGATACTCACTGTGCAGATCTGGGTTCTTCTCCGAACATCTTCAAGGTGATACTTGGTATGTCAGCACCTTATTCATGCTCGAGAGTTCGACAAAGTAGCAACCATCTCTGATAACAATCTTTAGCAATGAAAACACAAACTGGGTTCTCTTTAATAGACCAACCTAATACTTGCCATCCGTGTCTTACACATGGCACTTAATGAGACATTCATTTCCGTGACTCTTTGAAAGGCAATATACATAATTCTGGCATATTCTTTGCCTCATATTATATCATTAGCACTAGTTTATGTATGCGTTGTTTCCCTGTCGATTCCCAAATTGAAACACTATGTAACCCAGAAATCTGTATATAACAGAACCTAGTGTGAAACCAACAATCAAACTACAAGCGATGTACATCAACAAATGTATAACAAAATTAAGTAGGTTTACAAATCAATACAAATTACTGCACAACAATTACAATGGCAGTACACAATAGAGTGGAAGAACAATATTCAATAGGAATATAAAATGTGATGGCAGTGGTTAGTGTCAATACAAAAATACAGTGGTGATAGCAAAAGTCAGTGAAAATAATATATATTCGACCAGTGGCGACAGTGGTCAAGCCTCCAAGATGGGCTAGGCAGGCATTTAGGGATGATGGTTGATCCTCACACGTACGCTTGTACCGAAGCGAGGAAAATGCCTGAGAGAGACGTAAACACGCTCTTGTCCAACTATATATATACAGAGCCTGACAAGCTGCTGGAAGTTTCTATACCGTGCTCTCACAAGTCCAACAGCACAAGAACATTACAGAACTTTCCATATGTTTCTATAACATACTATCACCGTCCACGGTATCCCGAACCGGAAGTTTACACACTACACTAGTATCTAAATATAGTAACTTTCTAACACTGATCACTGTCCAAACACAAAGCAATGAGCGTCTACCGAATCTTAACCAAAAACAATGTAACACAATTACAGTTATTGTCAAACAACAAAATACACTGCCATATAACACATTTCAGTCAAAAAGCGAAAATAGCCAAAAGAAATTGGTACTGAAATGATTTGTGTGATTTTAGATTGTGTATAGTACCCTGAAAAGTAATAAAAGATCCTCCCTTGAAATATGATGCTAAGTCCTATTTTTGGGGTAAAAAGTGTTCTTGGAATATATACTCTTTAAAAAAAAGAAATGCAAAGCCAGATTTGTGTGAGGTACGAAAGTACATCTATACGAGGAACCGTACAAGGTATTGAGCCAACATGTTCTGGAGTCAACACTTGGTGATTGTAGTCATCTCAGTTATCTGTACATAGGAAAAGTTCAAGGTGAAGGTCAGCTGCCATCAATAACGCGTATGTCCCCCCGTTGGAATCGATAGTGGCCTGACAACTTCTGCCCATGGAAGAGACGAGTATGCGAATCACATCCTGGGGATGGTAGCCCACTCGGTCTGCAATGAAAAGGCCAACTGCTGCAACGTCTGGGTTGACGTCGGTGTAGCAGTCTATCCAATTCATCCTGAAGCTGCTCTACTGGGTTCAAATCCGGAGATCTGGAGGGCCAGGGGAGAAAATCAACGTTGTTGTTTAGAAAGGCTCTTGTGATCCTTGCTATATGTGGTCGGGCGTTGTCCTGCTGGATTACACCGTTGCCGTTGGTTGCAATTGGGAGGACGTGTGGTAGGAGAATTTCGTTGATGTTTCGTTGAGTCATAAGATTGACCTGGATATGGACCAAACCTGTCCTGCCATGATGACAGATAGGCGCCCACATCATAACGCTACCCCTACCAAACATGTCATATTCCTGTATGCAGTTTCCGGCGTAACGTTCTCTCCGACGTCTGTAGACCCGTGTTCTTCCATCCCCTCGACAAAGGAGAAATCTTGATTCGTTGCTGAACCAGATATCTCTTCATCGCAGTTGAGGCCATACCCTGTGTTGACGACACCAATGCAGTAGTTTCTGGGCCACGCTGTCGACTCAATATGACGCGTCTTGCTCATCGAACAGGGCGTCTTGCTCATAGGCCTGCTGCTCTTAAACTTTTTCGTACAGTCTGGTCTGAGATTCTGCGCAGTACAGGTATTTGGCATGCGGTTAAGGTGGCTGTGGTCGTCCTACCACGTAGGTGGCCAGTCTGATGTAGCGATCTTGGGCAGGGCTGGTTACTCTTGGTCGTCCCGATCTTGGTCGATCACGTGTAGACCCATGCTGTTGAAACGGATCCCATAATCTTGTGAAGGTGCCGGGCGCTACATTGAAAACCCTGTCTACAGCTGATCGGGATTCCTCTGCCTGCAAGCGGCACATGACGTTGTCTTTTTGCACTTCTGTTAATCTTGGCATGTTGTTGAACTGTCAATGTTCGATTGACGCAGATGCAAGGCAATCAAAAACTCTGCACTGTAATACCGTTCATAGTGCTGCTGCACGTGCACTGGGTGCGTTTTTTCCGAATCGTACGTGTTTCACGACTAATGGTTTGCATGCCCTTATTGTGATCATTTTGATCCGGGAAAATTGTCACTGACACTTTAGCACATTTAACCTCTTCATTTTGCACCTTTTGCTTATTTTGCTTTTATGTCCAAAAATATCCGTATTGCGGTTCTTTTTTTTTAAGAGTATGTTTCAGAAATATCAAACTGGTGATAAAACTTGAATTGCTATACAAATCTCTGAAGGGAAAGAAGTAACTATGAAACCATCAGTTGGAAAAGATAGAAATTTTGAGTACAATATAAAAACAATTATTTTAGGGAAAATACGTACAAAAAAAAGTAGAAGATGACATTCCATTTGATCTTAACATATTTGTGCCATATCCAAAAGGGAAGTATCCTCTTTCCATTTGAAGTGACTTAATTTCCCAAAGTGCAATTGTCATCAAATTCCAAATGCCAGAAGCATTTCTACGTTGTAATTGTCGCTGTATCTGTTGGATAATTAGGTGTTAGTACAAATGGTCCATGAGCCAGACCAGATATTGGTACCACCTGGGGTGGCAAAATCTCACTATGATTTTTTGAAAGTCATATATCCATATGATGAAAAAAACCTTTGAAAGCAACCCGGGACTCACAGCTAAGTGGTAGTAATCACCACATAAAGGGGGTCCCTTGAGTCGAATCCACGGGTCCAGATTTCGGGATAAGGGAAACTAGAAAGTTGAATAACTTTACAACCAATGGTCATATGGTGAAGCATGACCACTCAAAATGTTGGTAACCTGATGATCTACATGTTGGTATGAATATAGGGTTAATACAGTAATAATGTAGGTCGCCAGAGGTCAAAAGGTCACGGAATTTGACTCCTGCTTAAGATATTACCACCTGTCAGAAAATATATTGCAGATGCCACACCAATGGGACTTCCTTAACCCAAATTGGCTATGATTGAAGCCAAGAAGTACCTAAGTCTATCAAAAGTCTGATAAAAGGAACTTTATTGTTTTTTGTGGTGTGAAAAAGAACGGTTTTTGATGCATTTTAAAACAAATGTCATCATGCGCTAAAAACATGTAAAAATTGTATGAAGTTGGGCTGCTTGAAATTAGTTAACATGAATTTATAACTCTCAACTTCAAATTATAATGGTCATGGGCTAGATGTAGTCAGAAGTTGTTTTGAATGTACATTGTTCTGTTTTTCGGGCTCACAAGATTAAACTGAAGGTCAAATTGGGGTCAAGTTGGATATGCTAACCGCAATAACATATAATGCAGTTATCTGTTGCATAATGAATATCAATATTTGATAAGATCAAACAATTAGACTGTCAAAAACTATTTGTATCACATTAGTGTTAGAAACTTAAGTCTTGTTTATTGTAGACTGAAACAAGGGTAGTTACATATGAATCTTGCAAAATATAGTACACCGTTGATTACTCATCATCTCGACCATTGTCAACATCACTCGCTTCAAATTCAACCTCGTCCTTAACTTGCTGATTGCTAGGCCTGGTGTGTCATCAACTTTCTGGACGTCAGCATATTCATTGCATGTCTTGGTTCCACCCTTCGTGTAAATTGAGGATTCCCAAGCCAATAATAAGGACATACGTATCAGACACAATCACAACTGC